CTTTTAATACAAACCCAGAGTCACAAAAAACGCCCATGTCCACATCACTGTCTGATTAAATAAGTCAACTCTACTGGAACATTCTAAAAGGAAGTACAAGAGTAAAGCCAAAAGTGATATTTAGAAGTGAAAGAAACAAAGCACCAAGTCATGAAAAGAGTACAGTCAAAATCACTGAATAAAAGAACTCAAGGTATATTTCCCCTGAGAATACACATGCAGAGTCACCTGCACACATGCACAAAACAAATCACCTGCACACATGCACAAAAAACCCCCAAACTTGATGTAAGAAGTGAGTTTTGATTTGTTCCTGAACTTCTGTCATTTGTCAAGGAGATTTTTGTCTGTCACTGCAGATGCTACACGAACAGTGGTGATACGGGTCTTCATGAAAGCTTAGCTTAGAGAGAACCACAGTCAATGCAGCTGCTTCCTCCTCCACATTTTGAGGATTAAAGATAATAGAAGTAAAACACAAAAAATGATTCATAGCTCAGAAATCTGAGTCTAAAGTCTCACTGGGAGGGTATAAACTGTACACTGGAAGAGATGTAAAAACATAAATCTGATCAGTGTAAAAAAATCTACCCCTTCAATTCTGACTTTGCTATAGCAGAAACGGGAAAAAAGGAAAATAGGCTCAAGGAGAAAGGCAAATCTAAAGCAGAATAGTCAGTCTGTTCCCCTCTGGGTTTATAAAGAGCAGACTCAAATCAAAATCCTTGAAAGTCCTTGGGAAAAGGATACTCTTAGCAGGTTACAAATATAGGAGCTTTGAGAACATCAGTATTTTCCTAAGGGAAATGAGAAGACAGTCTTGAAAAGGTGCCAAAAGTCACAAAAGTAATTTTGATTCAATATGATTATTGATGAAATCTCTGTAGCGATAGCCCCAACATAGTAAGCTAAGCTCTTCAGTTTGGTTTCAGAAGAAATTACCAGATCCATTTTCACAGCCTTGATCGACCACCTCAGTCTGAGTTTAGACAGAAAAATAAATGCCCAATATACTTGTGTCTTTCTCCAAAGGGAGAAGGCTCGAGGTACTCCTTTGCATTACAGTAGAATAACATAAAAATATGGACAAGTCTTTCTATTACTGGTTGGACATGGCCAAATACAGTGGGGATGAGGAGTCTAGGTGCTACTGAATCAGTACAACTGTAATAGGTTTGTAAAGGGATTTTAATCAGTGTCTCAAACACATTTGAAGAGTAAAGCTGATTAATTAGTGGGTTTATGTTGGCCCTTTTTTCTAGATCCTGCAGAGAATACGGTCACTTGAGAAAAATAAGAGTGGTTTCCTTATCCAATATTACTATAGAGTCTCAGGACTAGTGAATGTCAAAGTTGCATAGATACCTGTTTTCCATGTTTCCATTTCAGCTTAGAGGATCTTGAGAATCTGCTGATAAACTGCCATTGCCATTCTGTAAGTACAGCGCTCATACAGCAGTGGCCAGGAAGGACAGCTTTGCTTTAAGTCTGGGTAGACTTGACATTTGTTCAAAATCTTTGCTTGATCTGTGAAAGCAATACAACGCCAAAAACCCCACTGAATCCATATCCTAGTTATGCACCTGTTCTCTATAAAATTGGACAAGTCTGCTCTCCTGGTAGGTCACCAATTTGAAAAATCATGAAATATTTAGAAAGCATTCCTCAGTGCTAAAATAGCAAATGGAAAAGAGACATCCTGGATATTTTATCCAAGGTACAAGACAGGCCCTAGGCAAGATTTATGGGATTTTTGCCACAATGACCAGATGAGTCTTCATCATTCTGGTAAAACACAGAAGCTCAAGCAGATCTTTAGAGGGGTAACAAAGTTCCTTTTAGCTGACTGCTTTTCAGGATGCAAATAGTGTTTTGTGAGATGCAGTTAAATATGAAAAATACTTCTGGAACACAAAGATGGATAATCATGCATGGCCAAATTTTCTGATTTTATTTCCTACAATAGCCACGTCCAAGTTTGCTCAGAGCAGACTTAATCAGATCATAAATCAGGGGAACAGAAAAATGAAATTGTAATTTGTGGGACCAAAATAAAATCTATATTTCTGAAAGAAGAATCTAGTGATTTTTGCAACATCAGAACAATTACAATTCTGCAATAAGTGTACTACATTCCTAATGTTCTTTGGTTTGTGTTGAACAAACAGCAAATAGTGTAAGAATGGTTAATTGTTGTGGCCCCAATTGATTAACTGATTCTTTAAGAATTTGATGGGTATGGGGGGAAGGGAACTGCATGAGATAATCCATATCTGCTTTCTTTAACCCTCCTTGCCCTCGAATAGCAATCTTTCAGCTGACTCTTCTTATGAACTGCCAAGGACAGCAGCTCTGCTGTATATAGTGTTATAGTTCTCAGGTACTGCTGTGACCGGGCCTAGGGGACATGTTAGTGTCTCTAGATGTTAAACAGAAGTAGCTGTGAAGTGGGTGGCAATTTACATTTTTATTCTGATGTGAGAATATGGCCCTTTATGTGCTGCAAAATATCACCGGACTATGGGTTGATCCATCACATGCCATGGACAACTCAGGGCAATATAAGGTAAGTTCTCACAGTACTGGCAGGCTCTACAATCACAATGAAAAATCTTTCTAAATAGGTAAAATCATATTTGATTAGTTGGGCACTCTTACCTTTTCTACCTTCCTTCCAACCAGACCAAAAATCTGTATTTCTTTGTCAGTCTTCATATCTCTAACTGAATTTCATTTACCGCCTTCAGAAATTATATAATGATAACTACATACAATGGAACTTTGTGTGCTCTGATGAGAGCGGACATTTTTAGTATTAATAAAGTTGGTTTTGATGCACGTAATACATCAAGAATGGTTTTTTTTTTTTTTTTTTTTTTTTTTTTTTTTTTTTTAATCCCTTTCCACAAATTCAGCACTTTGGATCTTCGTTCCCTTTAGAACAAAAGCACATTCTGAAACTTCGGAATTTTCCCCAGGACAGAAACCTTGTTTTCCACAAACTCTAATCCATGTGGGACAGTACTGGTCTGGGGTACAGCAGTTGTTGTATTTGGTCTAGTAAGAATATGAAGGAGAATGCTTAGTAAATGCACTGGGAATACAACACAAGAGCTTTCGCTAACTGCAAAGGGACTAGGGTTGATATTGTCTCCTGTGAGAAAATTTATACCAGCTTTTTGATAATAATATATTGTCATGGAAATAAATACAAACTTATTCATAGGCAAAGTTTTTTTAAAACTACAAATCACGCCTGTAAAGTTCAAATAGAAAATTCAATTAATCGGGATGTTAGGAATACACCAGTTCAGATTCCCAAATGGCTGTGTCGCTCCGTCACACTAAATAAAGGCTACTATCTGCTCAAATGAGGTTTCATTTATACTGATATTTAGAAATGGATCCACTTGAGAGACTGATATTTCTAGCAGCACTAGGATTCAGATTATGAGGAAAACAGGCGCAAGAAAGATGTTATCGTTATTTCTTAGCCATAAATTTTAAGAGCCTATTATGAAAATGTTTGTCAAACACTGCTGAGAAACAAGCAAACACAAACTGACCTATGATCAGCCAAACACTACAAATAACAAGCACCAAAGAGGTGATGTGAAATTTTGCAACCATCCCATGATATTTGTTTCTGCTCATTAGGCATCAGATTCATTAACAAAAGCTGGAAAGATCATTTGCACAATTCAGAAAGACCATGAACAGAAAAAGAGGCTAAGCACATTCAGTTGAATCAGTTGAGCAATGGCCGAGGGTTTTGAGGCACCAGACTGGGACCCAGAAAACTCTCTTTTGTACTTGTCCTGCCTGATGGATGACCCTGAGTATGCGATTTCCTCTCAGTTGGGATTAATTACTTTAGCTTATGGCAGGGATAACGATACTGACCTCCCTTGTCAAGTACTTGGAAACATGCAGATGGAAAGCATGTAGCTGCAAAAGGACAGAGAAGGAAGGAAGGACAAACAGTACTCATCCTTGTTGTGCCATGTTAGACGCTGGTTAGAACCAGGTTGTTCAGCCTGCAGGTACTATGTCCACCCATTTAATATTTTTCCATCATTGCAATCTCATAGGCTGATGTACAGTACACTTTGCCAGCATCTGAGGATGGATTTTGTATTCCTTATAGACCATGCAAATATTAGTTATTGTAAATTAAATCAGGCAACCTTTCCCTACTGCACCAGTTGTAACAAAATGGCCTTCTAATACAGAGGACAAGCATAATGCATGTGCCAACTGCATAAAGTTTCTGAAGGGTGGTTTAAAAGTTGCTCTGCCTTCCACAGTGGATTTCACCTTCTGTAATATAAAATAGATTGAAGGAAGAATACAATCCTCCCCACTGCATCCCAGCTTTTTTGTGTGTGTGAAGTGGAAACTTATCCATTATACTGATTTATTCTATCACCTACTGATCAAACTGGAGGACGTACACCTCCTATCAGCGCTTTGCCTGGAAATCAGAGACTACTACAAAAACCTCAACATTTTACATGGAAACATCTAGACCTGATATGGTTAACACTTGATAACAATCTTGTCAAACTTTATACACCTGTAAACAGAGTTTACAGCGTTAAGTTTTGCCATCATGCAACTCTTTATATCCTATAAACACAGTTTACAGTAATATGCATAGCAATGATAAGGACATCAACAAGAGCACTCAGCAGAAGCACAGATGTTGAGAGATGTTCTTATGCAATCCGTATTACTGCTTATATCTACATAAACTTAGTTGAATAATCAAAGTTGCCACATTTACCATAAAATAAAGACAAATATCATATTTTAAATGCAAAGATGAGCCATTATCTGTGCAATTTCATAGACTAAATTCAAATCACATCACGCTTTCATAGAAAAAAGTCTCAGAGTAAACAGCCATTTCTCTAAATTTGCACGGGGTGTCTAAAAAGTTACCAATTTCCAATTTGCCTTCTATCCAGGAGTAAGTGGAAGAAAACCAGCAAACTTACGATCTCCTTGACAACGCACTGGACCCACAGATATCTTGGCTTCAGACCCAGGCCGGTCAACATCTCCAACCACTACCTGACTCACTGGTAGGTGCTCTTTGTATGACAACATCCCAGTATCTTTTCTCCTGAATTACAGAGAGAGAAAAAAAGAAAGCAATTGTGAAATATATTAAAATAATTTCCTTGATCATTATTATTGTTCAATGAACTAAGCACCAAAAGTCTAGGTATTCAGCAATGATACCAGTACAGCGTTACCGTCTAAAAACCTGTCTCAAATGGCATCAGTTTGAGTAATAACACTGCCTGTTTACTGGAAAACAGATGGGCAGCAGCTACTGTCACCCAGGAACACAGTAGCAGCTTGCTTTGTGGCCAGTCCTGGACTCAGCTGGGCTTGTGTGGGTCTCCCTGCTTTTCAGACTGACCAGCTCCATACTAGAGGGTAACACTTTGCTGTTCATCTCCTTGCTAATGTTTTCTGAGAGTGAAAAAAGTCCTAATGCTTCCTAAAAGTGTATCTTTTTTTTGCCCTAGTTGCTGCTAGTTATTATCCTAATAATACAACGCTTGCACACAAAGGAAACAGGTCTTCTTTTATATTTAATGTTTTCAGTATTATATTTAAAAAAAAGAGAATTTAAAGACTAATTATCTGAAAAGACTTGTCATCTTAGTACTGTCATTTTTAATGTTAAGTGCCTAAATCCAGAAAAACTAAACTTTAGAATCTGACTATGGGTATGCAGCTAACCCCCCATTTTAGTCAGTAAGATCACCAAAATTCAATTTGTAGTCATGCCTAAAAGCTCCTAATTTCAAATGCAGTGAGTAACCTGGTGCATTTTTCATGCCTGGACCAAATCATTACACACAGTTACAACCTTTTTCCTTTATCGTTTCAAGAGACTAATCCTGTTGAGTGCTGTTTCTTCCAAATAGAAAATAAAATAAATGAAATTTAATTAGGTACCTTATCTCTCAGGTACTTTTCTTTTCTTTTTTTTTTTGACATAAACACAAGGAAGGCCAAAACCATCCACACAGTAAAAAACGCACTATACATATTGTTAGGACTATACTTTTTGACACAAGACAAAGTAAGAGGAAGCAAAACAAAGCCATTTATCTTTCCCCCCCCCCCC